AAAACAGAGAAGGGAAGTAAAGAGAGAGAAAGAATGGAGAAGAAATTTAAAAAAAAGAAAAACAGAGAAGGGAAGTAAAGAGAGAGAAAGAATGGAGAAGAAATTTAAAAAAAAGAAAAACAGAGAAGGGAAGTAAAGAGAGAGAAAGAATGGAGAAGAAATTTAAAAAAAAGAAAAACAGAGAAGGGAAGTAAAGAGAGAGAAAGAATGGAGAAGAAATTTAAAAAAAAGAAAAACAGAGAAGGGAAGTAAAGAGAGAGAAAGAATGGAGAAGAAATTTAAAAAAAAGAAAAACAGAGAAGGGAAGTAAAGAGAGAGAAAGAATGGAGAAGAAATTTAAAAAAAAGAAAAACAGAGAAGGGAAGTAAAGAGAGAGAAAGAATGGAGAAGAAATTTAAAAAAAAGAAAAACAGAGAAGGGAAGTAAAGAGAGAGAAAGAATGGAGAAGAAATTTAAAAAAAAGAAGAACCAGAGAAGGGAAGTGAAGAGAAAGAGAAAAAGAAGAGAAGAAGTAAAGAAAAACCAGAGAAGGGAAGTGAAGAGAAAGAGAGAGATAAGGGTAGATAAAGAGAGATAAGAGTAGACAAGAAGTGAAGAAAAAACAGAGAAGGGAAGTAAAGAGAGAGAAAGAATGGAGAAGAAATTTAAAAAAAAGAAAAACAGAGAAGGGAAGTGAAGAGAAAGAGAGAGAAAAGGGTAGATAAAGAGAAAAGTAACTAGTAATTAAGCCACAACATACAGTCATGCCATTACCCCCACCCCCCCTCCCTCTCTTTTTTACGATGATAATAAACAGAACCAAAAGCAGGCTGGTACCTTTCGTAATGGAGACAATAGGAGGGAAAGGGAGAGAGAGAGAGAGAGAGAGAGAGAGAGAGAGAGAGAGAGAGGTAGCGAGAGATAGATGGATGGACATAGAGAATGCGAGAGAGCGGAGAGGGAGGGAGGGGGGAGAGGGAAAGAGGGAGAGGGAAGGAGGGAGGGGGTGATGGAGGGAGAGAGAGAGGGAGGGGGAAGAGAGAGAGGGAGGGAGGGAGAGAGAAAGAGAAAACGAAGAGAGAGTAAGACTAAGTAACAGAAAGACAGAGAAAGAGAAAGAAAGCAAACAACTTCGCAGACAAAGATTATATATATATATATATATATATATATATATATATATATATATATATATATATATTTATATATATATATATATATATATATATATATATATATATATAAATACATATGTATATATATATATATATATATATATATATATATATATATATATATATATATAAAACCACAGTGCCAGCGACGGAAAGAGAGAGAGCGAGAGGGCCACAAGCGGACGGACGAGAGAAGCACAAGGCACCCTTAACTTTGGCCACAATGACTAGGCACTTCCTTTACTAATCTCACACCAGTTCGACACGCGTGAGGCATTAGAAAAAAAAATTGGTGAAAGAAATTGTATGGTCCACTGACGTAAGACAGATTATGGAGCCTTATAAAACTTGCAACCAGAACTGCTCTGTCTTAAGCCTACGTGCGTGTGTATGTACAAAGATTTCGGTGTAAAAGAGAGATTGTAGATGGTTATTGTGTTAATGGATGTTTTGGTATTAATAGATACAATGCTTTCTGTGTCGTAGGTGATTAATGTACAATAGGAAGAGGGGCATTGTTACTAGAATTGGGTGTTAACAATTAGTTTTACACCTTTAGCACGGAAGTATATTGTATTTGAGAATTAAAGGTGGTAGAAAAAATAACGATGTCATTAATAATGGTTTTGATAATCATATAGTGATTATATAATTACTAATATCAATAGTAATAATAATGATAATTATCATCAGTATCATTAACACGAAAATATGAACACAGGCTGAACAGATGACCAGTTAATTACTTCCCTGTACATAAGCTATTTAATAAATACATGTCAAAATGAGGCGCGTGAGCCAATTAAGTTTGGTAATTAGAATCGAAGGAAGTTGATTACATTATCCATTACACCCTCGTATTTGGCACCAGAGACAGAAAAGGAAATATCCCAATGATTGAAACAGGAACAGTATTTCGAAAATGAAAGTCATCATAGTTCACTCGCTCCTGATATGTCTGCGTTCAAATAATGCTCCCAGATTTGATTACCTTCATTATTCAATTTGTTCTTTTCTTCTTTTATAAGGTATGGAGATTTTAAAACGCGCCAAAAAAACAGTCTAGCGAATCTGAGACGGGATTATACAAAAATGAAACACCGCTTTGACATCTGTTCGAATAGATTATCAAACCCTTTCCGACTACTGTAATATCTTTCCCGCGTACGCCATTCTAGCAACACCAAGCAGTAAATCAATGTATTCCCCGTAATAGAAGGGGCCTGAAAAGTCCCCAGAAGGAGATGCTAGTGGAAGATTAAATGAGAGAACTGCCCTTGAGCCACGCTGAATGTCCGCAGTCAAGAACTATAAATACTTGAGGTGGGCTAGACCGCGTCAGTTGATCTCGAAGGCTCAGCGGAAAAAGAACCCCTTAAGGTAAATACGGATCATCTACGTGAAGTTTGTGACAGAAGCTACTGAAATTGTTTTAGAATTATAGTGTCTCGCTTGCCTAAAGAACGTTAATTTCTCTATTTCTGTAGAGCACATATCTATATATATATTATACATTTACACACATATACATATCTAGTATATATATATATATATATATACACTTCATTTATATATGTATATATATGTGTGAGCACATTTTTTTGCGTAAAATATTTCTCTACGTTAGCTTTTCACCCGAGCACTTTTTCTGGTCCAGAGATGTAAATACCTTTGTGATCTTACAAATTATCATTCATGCAACTTTAAAAATTCCCGCGATAATGTCCCCATGACGCAAGAATCTTACCTGGCCGTAATCTCCTTGGCTGAGGTCTCGTCCAATCTACTTTAATCTCTGTCTCATGCCTGTCGTTGCTCAGATCTCGGTCATTTGTCATCACTCTTACTTTATTTTTTTTGTCACTCTCTGTCACAAACTAACAGTTTTCTGACAAACCATTAACTCTGGATCCTTGTTACTCTATAATATGAAGTTTAGAATAAAATGTGAGGAAATAGTTAGAGCACATTCTTGTTTTCTTATATATAATTATTGAATTAGTCTATTTGCTGATCCATTTATATGTCAATTTATCTAATGAACATTTTGCGTCATGGCTCACAGAAAGTTTTTTTTCTTTACTTCACGTCTTTCGCAAACAGTGATCAGTAACAGAGAATTTGATCGCCTTTCTCTTCCCTGCGTTAGTAGGTCTATTTTATTTACTTATATATTTTTTCTCTTCGTTTTTATTTAACTCACAGAGGAAATGAAGACCAACCATTTCCCTAATAATTTATTCTCTCTCTCTCTCTCTCTCTCTCTCTCTCTCTCTCTCTATATATATATATATATATATATATATCTGTGTGTGTGTGTGTGTGTGTATGTATGTATGTATGTCTACCTATCTTTCAGCCTCTGTCTATCTGTCTATTAATTTCTGTCTGTTTACCAATCTTTCTGCTCTCTATCAATCTCAGACTATGTTTTTACCTAACTTTGTGTCTCTATTTGTCTATCTCCACCAGATGATGGGAGGTCGCGTTGTGTTGGTAGTGCTGGCTGCTGTGTTGGCAGTGGCGTTGGCAGATCCCAGCTACCCCCGCCCTCGGCCTCGTCCCCACCCTTCCCCCTGCTACCCCAAGGTCAAATACGTGACCAAGTACCAGACTCAGGTCCAGGAGGTCAGTCGCTCTGTCACAGGAAGACAATCTTTTCGCTTTTTTTTTTTCTTTAGATAAGTTTCAAATGTTCTTCAGGAGTTTCAGGTCTCGATTGAGATGAAGATGTACTCTGGAATAGTGTTTTTTTTTTTTTTTTTTTTTTTTAATCTGAAGGCTTTATTTTGGGGATGAACTTTTCACTCTGATTTCTCGAGACCTTATTCTTTTCTCGTCAGGTTCCTTATCACGATACTCTCGCGTTTCGCTTAGAGGAACTATTGTCTGTTTTGTCTTCATTTCTTTTCTCGCTTTTCTTCGCAGGTTCCAGTCTACAGGACCGTGTACAAGACCCAGGTCGTCCCAACCACCTACTACCAGACCCAGTACCAGACCCAGTACCAGACACAGTACGAAACCGAGTACGTCCCGAGGTACGTCACCCAGACGGTCTACAAAACGCAGGTGCAGTACCAGACCCAAACCCAAGTCCAGTACCAGACGCAGTACCAGACTCAGTACATCACCACAACAGCTTACGTGCCCAGCTACGTCACCCAAACCGCTTACCAGACCGTGTACAAGACCCAGATCCAGTACCAAACCCAGTACAAGACCCAGGTGGTGCCCCAGTACGTCACAGAGACCGAAGTCCAGTACCAAACGCAGTACCAGACCCAAGTGGTCCCCCAGTATCACACCGTCACACAAACGCAGCAGTCCTACGTGACCAGGTGTCCCAAGCCAGCATACGGTTACTAAACCATGACACGAAATGTAAAAAGATATTGAAACAGAAACATGTTTTTTAAACTAATAAATATATAATTTCTTCTTATATTGATTATTTTACCTATTATTCTCCGAGCTAGATGACAATGGTTAAAATAATACAAACAAAAAAAATGTATTGTAATTACTTAACCATCACGAAGAGATGAAAGAAAAAGAAATGGATTCATTTGTTAATAATAGACGCATTTGGACAAAAAAAGGCAAAAATAAATGAAAGCCACTTTCCAGAACCTAATTGTTAAAAGACAGAGAAAACTTGAAAAAAATACAAGTTTCGGGTGAATGAAAAAATGACGAATGGAATTTAATGTGATTTCATCATTGACTGTTTTCCACTTTCGGATCAGTTTCCTATATTTTTTTTTTTATTGAGAGAATATGTCTGCATGCGAAATACATAGACATAATTGTATTTCTGGATTATAGTATAATGATAGATATTAAAATAAAGTAAGTCAAAATCATGTAGGTATCCACTCATGCATAAATTTGTGTATATGTATAATGTCCATATATATATACATACATATATATGTATATATATATATATATATATATATATATATATATATATATATATACATGTATGTATGTATATGTGTGTGTGTGTGTGTATACTTTGAATTAGAATATATTTACACACACACACACACACACACACACAAATATATATATATATATATATATATATATATATATATATATATATATATATATATATATATATATATATATATATATATATATATATATATATATATATATATATATATGTATATGTGTATATATATACACACATGTATATGTAGCCTATATGTGTGTGTGTGTGAATTCAAACAAATACATGCGTACATATAATTGTGTGTGTTTGCACACACACACACACACACATACACACACACACACACACACACACACACATATATATATATATATATATATATATATATATATATATATATATATATATATATATATATATGCATTCATACACACACATACATAGTGTATTTACACATACACACAACTATGTATATGTATCTGTGTATAGAGAAATAATTTTTTTCATATTTATGTATATCTATAAGCATCGTACATATACACATATATGATTACCTATAGATCCACACCTATACACGTATTATACACAAAGTTCTATATAAATCGTATGGTACGAGATATACAATAATGATAATGGTAAGCATGCAAAAACTGATAAACTAGTAAGGCTGGCGTTGACTGAAACGAGTTTACTGACGAAATGTTCTCGAAGTCTTTGCGATGACCGCGATGCTGATTGTCCCATATAGTCTATACATTGTTCTATTGTTCACATCACAAAAGGTCCCTCGAAAAAACTATCATAAATGTGCATATATTCGTACATAGATAAGCACATACACACGCACACATACAAATATACACACGTTCACACACACACACACACACACACGCACACACACACACACATATATATGTTTGTGTGTGTGTGTGTGTGTGTATACTTTGCCTCCCTTTCGTTTTAGCATTTATCTTTCTAAAAAAACAAAAACAAAAAAAAAAAACATTATCTTCAGTTATGTAAGACTTAATGACACTAAAACCTAAATGATGACAACGTTTAAAAAGTACGCCACGAAGACAACAGTGAATTGCAACTTAAAATCATGAAATTGCATAATATTTCACACATATGGGTGGCGTGTCGTTAGAAACCATTACGATTATTGCTTTAGACATTTTGACGGAGTGATGGGATTTTCCGCGGAAAGGAAAAGCAGAAATGGAGGTAAAAATGTGAAAGGTAGAGAGAGAGAGTGATGAAGAGGAATGAGAAAGAGAGAACAGTGACAAGAACAGAAAGGATGAGAGGGAAAAAGAATGATAAAAGGAATAAAGTGAAGGATAGTCCAAGAGAGACAAAGAGAAGAAGAGAGTGAAAAATAGACAAAGAGAAACGAGAAGAGGAGGTGAGTGAAAGAGAAAGACAATGAAAATCAGGAGAAAGCGAAGGAAACACCGACAAAGAGAGAGGAAAAAGAGAGACAGACAGAGAAGAGAAAATGAAAGAATAAAAGATAAGGAACGATAAAGAGATTGAGAAGGCAGTAGGATAACGAAGAAAAGGCGACAAAATGCAAAACTGAAAGAAAGAAAAACAGAAATAAAAAAAACAAATTTCATCCCTTTTCCCTCTGAAACGTGCCAGATGGTGTGCTTCAATTCTGTTCGAATCAGCTTCGCTTCGTTGGGTGAAAATGAAGCAAATACTAATCCTATTTCGACTCTTCGTATCAAAATTTCTTCACGAGTTCCCTTACTGTTGTTGTTATATTTGTTCTCGTTTCCTTGTTTTCAGTGTTAGAATATCATTTGTATTTTCATTCGATTTTATTTTTCCAATCATGATTATCACTTTTACCACTGTTATTATTACTTGATGGTAGTAATGATGACGATGATAGTAATAACAGTAATAATAATAGTGATAATGATAATGGTATGATAATAATAGAGCAAATGGAAGAATATAGAAATATGATAATAATAATAGGAATACTAATGGTGATGATAATGATAATAAAAATGATAATAATAATAATGATGGCATAAATAATATGAAGAATAACAGCAGCAGCACCACCAACAATAATAATAATAATAATAAAAAATAACAATAGCGATAATGAAAATAATGATGATAATGATAATGGTAATAATAATAATAATAAAGGTAATAATAATAATAATAAAAAATAACAATAGCGATAATGAAAATAATGATGATAATGATAATGGTAATAATAATAATAATAAAGGTAATAATAATAATAATAAAAATAATTATAATAATAATGATAATAACAAAATGGTAATATTAATAGTGATAATAATAATGGTAATAATAATAATAATGATAATGATAACAGTAATGGTAATAATGATAATGATAATAATAATAATAATAGTAATAATAACAATAATGATAATCATTGCCATGATCAGCGTTATCAATATTATCATCACCATTATCATAAGAAGAGGAAAAATTTTAAAAAAAACGATAATAACATTAATTGTCAGCTTTCGTTGTTGACTATACGAGAGACGCCATGAACAGAATACTGACGAAAAGACAGATTAATAGAACAATAATGACAATAAACATGAATAACAAGAATCGAGTTCACTTCCGCACTGTCCTTCCTACTAGAGCGAAACGGAACAACATCCTCTTCCACAAGGACATGAAAGAATTTTGAACTATCTGTAATAGGAAAGTGAGAGTGAGAGAGAGTTCAGAAAGCGAGACAGAGTGGGGGGGGGCGCGGATTGAGAGAGAGAGAGAGAAGGAGAGAGGGAGGGAGAGAGAGAGAGAGAGAGAGAGAGAGAGAGAGAGAGAGAGAGAGAGAGGGGGGGGGGGGGAGGGAGAGAGAGGGAGGGAGAGAAAAAGAGAGAGAGGGAGAGCGTTCAGATCGACAGATAACTAAGAAAGAGTGAAAGAGACAGATAGAGATCGACAGACATCGAAAAGAGAGATAGAGAGAGAGAGAGAGAGAGACGGAGAGAACATTCAGATCGACAGACAACTAAGAAAGAGTGAAAGAGAGAGATAGAGATCGACAGACATCGAACAGAGAGAGAGAGAGAGAGAGATAGCGTTCAGATCGACAGACAACTAAGAAAGAGTGAAAGAAAGAGATAGAGATCGACAGACATCGAAAAGAGAGATAGATAGAGAGAGAGAGAGACGGAGAGAACATTCAGATCGACAGACAACTAGGAAAGAGTGAAAGAGAGAGATAGAGATCGACAGACATCGAAAAGATAGATAGATAGATAGATAGATAGATAGAGAGAGAGAGAGAGAACATTCATTTCGACAGACACAACTAAGAAAGAGTGAAAGATAGAGACAGAGATCGCTAGACATCGAAAAAGAGAGAAAGAGAAAGACAGAGACAGACAGATCCAAAGGGATGCAGACCAACAGACATCGAAGAGTGAGAAACAGACTTAGATGAAGGCGAGTAGGACCAAACTCTTTCGTTGACAATGAAAAGAGAGGGAAGCCGACCTTGCCTCCCGCTCCACTGCCGGCCGCCTCCGAGGTATAAATAGCCAGGGCGCCGTCTCACCAGCACCATTCTCTTCTCGAGGCTCATCCAAGACACAAGCATCTCTCAAGGTAGACAATAAGGTTTTAAAGTTTCTGCTTTATTATGAGCTTTTGAGATTAAGACTTTGAAGTTTTGTTTGTTGTCATTATCTGTAATGTTAATTTTAGTTTTATATTTTTTTCTTTTTCTTTTCTTTTAGTGTTACGTTTTATAGTGCGCCCTTTTTCTCTTTCTCAATTTGAATATCACAAATTTGTAGATTTGTAGGATTTGAAAGTTGAAATAGGCAGCTAAAAATCATTGAAGATTTAAAACTGTTTTCGATATTTTTTCTTCTTATTTGCGTCTCACCTAATGTACAAAGTGCTAGGCCAGAAGGGGTAAGGCTATTCTTATTTATTTCGTTATTGCATCATTAAAATTAGGAAATTAAACAAAGGAAAAATCATATTCGTAACACATCGTCCCACGCTCCACCCAAATTTTCCCCACCCTCAAAATTTCCCCACATTAATTCCAATTTTACCCCACACCTCTTCCAATTTTCTCACACTCCTCCATTTCCCCCACACTCAATTTTTCCCCACACTCAATTTTTCCCCACACTCAATTTTCCCCCACACTCCTTCCAGTTTTCACACACACCTTCAAATTTTCCCACGCTCTTCCACAGACGCGATGGCACGTACCGTATTGGCAGTCCTGGCTGTGGTGTTGGCAGCGGTGGTGGCAGAACCCAGCTACCCACGCCCCGCCCCCCCCGCACCCTGCCCACCCAAGCTCCAATATGTCACCAAGTACCAAACCCAGTACCAGGAGGTATGTATTGGTGTCATTTGGTACTCTGGATGAGATCGTGAAAGCATCAATTAGTTCTGAAGTCATAGTGGGATAGAAAAAATAATGTAGAGTTATTCTTTAATGAATTTAATATCATTAATTCTTATAATCGTGATTATTATATTCGTCAAGATGATCCTTTTCAATTTACGAACTTTTTACGATGTTTCCCTCCCGTCGCAGGTCCCAGTCTACCAGACCGCCTACAAGACCCAGGTCGTGCCCACCACCCGCTACGTGACCCAGTACCAAACCCAGTACCAGACTCAATACCAGACCGAGTACGTGCCCAAGTACGTGACCCAGACCGCGTACAAGACCCAAGTCCAGTACGTAACCCAGACCCAAGTGCAGTACCAGACCCAGTACCAAACCCAGTACGTCACCAAGTCTGAATACGTGCCCAAGTACGTCACCCAAACCCAGTACCAGACCCAGTACGTGACCCAGACTCAGTACCAGACCCAGTATACCACCCAGTACGCTCCCCAGTACGTCACGGAGACCCAGGTCAAATACCAGACCCAGTATACCACCCAGTATGCTCCCCAGTACGTCACCGTCACTCAGCAGTCCTACAAGACCGTTTGCCCCAAGCCAGCCTACGGCTATTAAGCTCGACGTCCATGTAACGCGCTTGTAAAGTTATATATTAAAGAGAATTTTATTAATGTGTGTCTCGACTAACCCAAGATAACAATGTGATGTTCCTACAGGACGTCTGAAGTGTATTTCCTTTCAAGTGACACGAAAGACGACTCGGGAACCATATCACTTAGGTAGCAATACGTTTGGATACATCAAGTTATATAAAAACCAACACACTACTGGATTATTGCATCTTTATCCATATGTCTAGATACGTAAATACATATCCACATACACATATACACACACACACACTTATATACATATATATATATATATATATATATATACATATATATTCATATTTATATTTATATATGTATGTATATACATATACATGAAAATATGTATATGTATATATACATGATATATATATAGTATATATATATATATATATATATATATACGTATACATATGTATATATATATATTTATATATATATAAATATATATATATACCATATCACTTAGGTAGCAATACGTTTGGATACATCAAGTTATATAAAAACCAACACACTACTGGATTATTTCATCTTTATCCATATGTCTAGATACGTAAATACATATCCACATACACATATACACACACACACACTTATATACATATATATATATATATATATATATATATATATACATATATATTCATATTTATATTTATATATGTATGTATATACATATACATGAAAATATGTATATGTATATATACATGATATATATATAGTGTATATATATATATATATACGTATACATATGTATATATATATATTTATATATATATATTATGATTGTGTGCGTGTGTGTGTGTGTGTGTATGAAAGCGTTTCTCTTTCTTTGTAAGATATTGTGTGCAGTGTTATGTAATGAGGATGACGAGGCTTGTAACACGGAAATAGTGTATAAATAGACTAAAGAAAAACGAAGAATGAAAACATAGAACAAAAGATATTCTATTTTCTCTCTTACTTTCGTTAAATTTGAATAATCGAGGTGAAAAAATACTAATTATGGATAGTACTATTTTTAGATTAAGATATGTGCATTAATCATAGATTTTATTTAAAGAATACGCTTCACACTCAGCCGCTGTAGATCCTGGATATGAGCGTTTTTTAAATTTATTTTTTGAAATATTTGGATAATTAAGGTACACCAAAGTTACTGCTAACACTTCTATAATTAATTAATCTTTCTTATGCGTGCCAAAATCAGATTCCTGGCTCCCTTGGATCATTATTTATGCAAATCGCCATGAGCACTGTCCAAACACCACGTGCGTAGGGAGTTGTGCGAATTCGTGGCTCACACTGCTTCGTCCCGCTCAGAGGCTTCGAAACAAGCTGTGAGAAGAATAGGCAAGGGTACGGCAAGGTACGATAAGTTACGCTCACCTCACCTCTTTGCATGGAGTAGTCTAAAACCTTAAACAAAAAAGAAAAAAGAAAAAAAAAAAGGTTTTCGCACCACCAAAGCGATATCACGAAACACTTTAGGAGAAAGGTTTTGGTTCCTGATGTTAGAACTTGTACACACAAATGTGCACAATCTAAGATTGTTCACATATTTGTTATGAGAAGTGAACACTATGGCAGACCTCACGCAACTCCGGATGGTTTCGGAATATATATATCTATATATATATAGAGAGAGAGAAAGATCTGTAGCATATAGAAGAGGTACTCATGACGGTTATAGTAGAGCTATATAATATAGTTATGATTATAATGATGACAATAAGTCTAATGAGAGACTGCCAATTAGTGAAGACGGAAGACCATAAGCTATTAAATATAGGAGTGGGGATTATTTTAACACTTCAGAAGGTCTTTTTTCCAAGCATCCTAAAACAAAAAGTAGTTCTTTATGTTAATGCAATAAACAAGACTTCAGTTTTATCAGGAGATCCGACCTCTTATGGGTTCAGTTCGGAAAAGTATTTGTGCATGCAATGGGTGAGTGAATGCATGTATTTATGGGCGTATGAATGAATGTTTATAAAATTATGTATACATGTAAGTAAGTATGTATGTCCACTATCGATACGTGGATGAATATATGTATGTGCACATCGTACACGGAAATCAGATGCAGAAAGCCCATTAGATAGTTAATCTTTTTGCCCCATCAACACTATTCAAACAAAAAAGAAAAAGAAAAAAAGAAAAAAAAAACATTAAAGCATGTAATTTCCCGTCGGCATTTTGTAACCAATTTTAATACATTGTTGTTGAATTGTTCCCTATTAGCATATTGCGCGTGTTTCTTTGAGAAGGCAATTTTAGCTACCCCTTGATACGCAGTCGATGATAAATATAATGATAAAATATCATGATAATGACAATGATGATAATAATGACAACAGTGATAATGATGGAGAGAGGTATGGAGGATTGAGGGAAGGGAAGGTCAAAGGATAGAGAGAGAAAGTAGAGAAAGAGAGAGAGAGACGGACGAGAGAGAAAGAAAGAGAGAGGAGATAAATCGAAAGAAACAGACAAGAGAGAGAGAGAGGGAGAGAGATAAACCAAAGATAAACAAGCGAGAGAGAGAGAAAGAAAAAAAGAAAAAAGGCTGGGGATGGGGGGGGGGGGGGAAAGAGGCCTTGTACGCCTGGTTCCGCCGAGGTATATAAGCCAGCGGTCCGCCTCTCGTTCGTCACTTGTGTTGTGAGAACCTTGGGAAGCTGAGCAAAGGTTGTGGGAGTGTGTTCGTTCGGGGGAAGTTTATTTTCTGAATTGTTTTTTTTTCTTCGTTTTTTTGTCCTTTATTTGCATCTGTTCCTTTCTCTCTCATTTTTTCTCCATCCCCCCTTTCTTTCTTTCTGTTTCTTTCTCTTGCTGCCTATCTATCTCCCCATCCTCCTTATTCTCTGCATATCTCTCTCTTTCTATCTATCTCTCTCACTCTATCTATCTTTCTCTCTCTCTCCCTCTCTTAAGGTTGTAATGCTTATCAGTGCTATGATTTTGTTATCGTCTATGTCAACTTTTATTATTGTCGTTATCACCACCATCTTTATTTTCATGTTAATTGCCTTTCTTATATACCATGATTATCCTATGGTTATCATTATTATGTCTTCTTCATTTTCCTATTTTCGTCGGTGTTATTCATATTGTGACTATCATTATTATCGTTGTTGCTATTACTGTTATCATTATTATTATTATTGCTATCATTATTACTTTTTTATTGTTATCGTTATTGTTTTTATTGTTATTGTCATTATTATTATTATTATAAATCCAAGCAGAAGTGTCATAATTATTAGCATTAGCATTCCTGCTATTATCATCATTATCAGTAGCAGCAGCAGTAGTAGTAGCAGGAGTAATAGTATATCCTTAATTATCATTATCATTATTCTAGGTTTATCATTTTTCTAGTATTATCATTATCATTCATCTATCATTATTACTAATATCATCATAATCATTACTAATTGTATATGGATAATGATTTTAGATATAATCATTGTTCTTAATATTCTTATATATTTTACTATTGTCATCATTACCATTCACTATCATATTATGATTATCATTTTGATCTTGCCATTAATTGCATAGTTTAAATATCACTAATATAATTCTGATAATTACTTTTAGAATTACTAATATTTTAAATTTAATATAAAATTTCCTGCTTTCTTTTAAACATCTGTTCCTTAATATCCTGCATTTCATTCTTTGGTCACAGATGACGTCAGGACGCGTAGTGTTGGCAGTGCTGGCTGCTGTGGTGGCCGCGGCGGTGGCAGAGCCCATCTACCCCCGCCCCCAGCCCCAGCCAGCCCCCTGCTACCCCAAGGTCAAGCAGGTGACCCAGTACCAGACTCAGGTTCAGCAGGTCAGTGAGAAGATGGAAAAGGGTTATTTATTAATGGAATTCTCAAAAAAAAAAAAAAAAAAAAGTATATATATGGGTGTGTTTGTAGATGTATGTGTGTGTCTACGTTTCCATGTGTCTGTGTGTGCATATATATATAAAGATAAAGGGATACATATATAGACCCACAGAGTGAGAGAGAGACAGAGAGGAAGAGAGAGACACACATATAAATGCGTTTATATATGTGTGTTGTGTTTTCATTATCTTTCTTTCTCATCCTTATTTTGCATTATATATCTATAGATTTATGCTATATTTTGACTTTAATAACCATGGTATCAAATGTCCTTCTCAGTAGTATGAAACATGAAAAATGTAAATGACAATAGTTTGATGTACGATACACAGATCAAATCTGTGAAATTGGTTTAAACTTCTCTTTATCTCTTCTTCCTCTCTCCCCCCCCCCCCGTCCCTCCCTCTCTCTGTCTTTGTCTCTGTCTCTTCTTCTCTCCCTCCCTCTTTACTTCCCTCTCCCTCGCTTTCTCACTCTACATATACCACACACCTTAAGTCATCATTTAAATATTACTCAATGAATCCTTCGTAAATCTAATTTCACCTGACATTATTTCTCCCCCACTTTTTCTGCCACAGGTTCCAGTCTACAGCACTGTGTACAAGACCCAGGTCGTCCCCACCACTTATTACCAGACCCAGTACCAAACCCAGTACCAGACACAGTACGAAACTGAGTACGTCCCGAGGTACGTCACCCAGACGGTCTACAAAACGCAGGTGCAGTACCAGACCCAAACCCAAGTCCAGTACCAGACGCAGTACCAGACTCAGTACATCACCACAACAGCTTACGTGCCCAGCTACGTCACCCAAACCGCCTACCAGACCGTGTACAAGACCCAGATCCAGTACCAAACCCAAGTACAAGACCCAGGTGGTGCCCCAGTACGTCACCAAGACCCAAGTCCAGTACCAGACGCAGTACCAGACCCAAGTGGTCCCCCAGTACCACACCGTCACACAAACGCAGCAGTCCTACGTGACCAAGTGCCCCAAGCCTGCCTATGGTTACTAAGCTGAGAGAAAGGCCTCAGGAAACATCAACAGCTGTGGAAATCACGATGTAAATAAATTTGTGGTAATTTAATCTAATCATTTATTACTGTCCTTAATTGAAAGGAAAGCGCCCAACAGAGAGGTAGAGATGGATAAATGTTTAGACACTTATAGATATATAGAGATATACACCAATAAATAAACATACAACACATTTCTGCCTTACATTTAAATGTATGAATGATTATGTATATACAAGTGCAAATAAACATACCCTCACACACACATACAAACACTAATACACACACACACACACACATATATATATATGTCAGTGTATAAATACTCGAACACACACATGTATGCATGAATGTATCTATCTATATACATTTATATATATAAATACACATACATATGTATATATATACATACACTTATATACAGTGTGTATATATATGTGTGTGTGTGTGTGAACATAAATATACAGTATATATATATACATATATTTATACACACATCCACACACACATATATATGTATACACATACACCCACACACACATATATATGCATATATATATATATTTATATATATATATATGTGTATGAGTGTATATATATATCGCATACAAGAAAACACACATACGCACACATACACGTACACACGGATATATATGTATATATACATATATATGCGTGTGTGTGTGAGTGTGCGTATACATATATGGATATATGTATATATACATATGTATTAATAAATATATATATACGTATATATATATATGTATACATATATATACATATAGATATATATGTATATATACATATTTATACATATGTATACATACACATCTCTCTCTATATATACATATACATATATATATACATGTGTGTATATATATAACGCATACAACAAAACACACACAACGCACACATATACACGTACACACACACATATATATATACATGTATATGTGTGTGTGTTTGTGTGGGTTCGTGTGTGTACGTATACATATATGGATATATGTATATATATGTATAAATAAATATATATATGTATATATATGTATACATATATACATATATATCTGTATATATATACACACATATGTATACATACACACATACACATACACATCTCCCTCTCTCTCTATATATATATGTGTGTGTACACACATACACACACTCACGCACATACACACACACATATATATGTATATATTTCTATGTATGTATGTGTGTGCGTGTTTTTGTATATATATATATATATGTATGTATGTGTATATATATATATATATATATATGTGTGTGTGTGTGTGCATATATATATATTGCACACACACACACACACTCACATATATATATGTGTGTGTGTGTGTTCATTATACACAGATACACACACACACAGATGTGTATATATGTGTGTCTATGATTGCCGCGGTTAGAACACTGGACTCCGACCCTCGTGGTCCCGAGTTCAATTCCCCGTCGCGGCGGTCGTAGAAATGCCTGCGCTCTGACATATCGCCTTGAGAAGTCAAATGCAGGTGTCGTAAGGGAAGTCACCGCCGTGGCATAATTGTAAGCGCGCCGAACCGCAGTCGAATGAATGACTGTTAAAAAAGAAAGAGAAAAAAATATATGTGTATATACATATATGTGTATATATGTGTGTGTGTGTTTGTGTGTATGTGTACACATGTGTGTGTGAATTCTTATACATATACACATAGATACATATACATATGCAGATGTGTGTGTACGCGCGTGTGTTTGAATATATGTATATGTATATATCACATATGACTGCCGCAATGGTCCAGTGGTTAGAGCACTGGACTTCAACCCTCGTGGTCCGAGTTCAAATCCCCGTCGCGGCGGTCGTTAAAATGCTTGCGCTCTGACTGCAGGCTCGAGCCCGAGTCAAACGCAGGTGTCGTTGGGGAAGTCACCGCCGTGGCATAAATGTTAGAAATATATATATATCACATATATTATACACACACACAAATACACACAGATATATATATATATATATATATATATATATATATATATATATATATAAAGAGGTAGACTAATACGGCCGTGAATAATTTCAAGTTTATTCTATCATCAGTGCTGAAATGATGAACCAAAAATAGCGTGCAATTAGACACCAGAAAGAAATTGATTAAAGAGGTTCTCTAAATACAAACAACAATAATGTCAATAAATACATCACAATGTGAGCCAAAAATAATACAGATATATTAAAGAAACGAGTATATACAATGGAGAAAAAACAAACAAATGACAATGGCCGTTTCCATACCAGCATTTACCGCAAACCAACCATTACTGGCTTCGGGTGTTTACGACTGCTCGCCTGTCTGCTTGTCTGCCTGCATGACCTTGCGTACTTTATTCACATACAGACTTGGGAAGAAAAGGCAATTAAATCAAACCTCCCCCCCCAAAAAAAAATAAAAATAAAAAAGAGAGAATATATATGAACAAAAAATTCACTTTCTCAGCAATATCCCATACATTTATAAACTCAACAGCATAAAAACATTCATCACTAGAGCCTATAATCTATGTAGCAATTGGTCCACTTTTCATGATGAAATGAATTTTCTAAAAAACTTCTTTGTTACTAATGGGTACCCATTGTATCTATTTGATAAAATAACAAAGACTTTTCTTTGTGAAAAAAAATCTCTGATCAACCTGCTGTATCATCTGTTAAAAGGGAATGAGCTTTGATGTCAGAAAACAATTCAAAACGCTCTTAGAAAACATTTACCCGCAAATAAAATTCACTTTTGTTTTCAGTAATTCTGACACTTGCAAATTTCTTAAAACAGCCTACGAGATACCTCTTTGATTTGCGTCCTAATGTGGTATATCTATTTACCTGTCCTGACTGCCAAGTTAGATACGTGGGGTCCACCTCGCGATGGTTATGTCACCGCATTACGGAACACAAATGCAAGTCATTTCATACTGGACTACCGCTGAGCACACCATCTTTCTCGGCCATAAGAGAGCACTCTCACCAACACTCACATCCTTTTTCTAACACTGATTTTAATATTCTATCCTCTCATTCCTCCCGCCTAGACCTCATGATCTCGGAATCTTAGCTGATCCGAAAGAGGAAACCAGAGCTTAACAACAACACTACCGCAACCACCCTGTTCACCAATTAGCGTTTTCCTTTCCCCTGACTACCACCCATGTTGGTTAGTTGTTTTATATCTTTGTTCCGGTGTTTTCCGTGTTTGTTTGTTTTTTCTTCATTGTTTATACTCGTTTGTTCAATATATCTGAATTATTTTTTGCTCACATTGTGATGTAATTATTGATATGATTGTTGCTTGTATTTAGAGAACCTCTTTAATCAATTTCTTTCTGGTGTCTAATTGCACGCTATTTTTGGTTCATCATTTCAGCACTGATGATAGAGATAAGATTGATCTGTGAAACGTTTGCGAATAAACATGAAATTATTCACGGCCGTATTAGTCTATCTCTTCGTTTTGACTGTTTGACGCCGATGTGGAAAACCTATAACAACTTATATATATATATATATATATGTATATATACATACATATATATGTGTGTATCTGAGTATGTGTCCAAGTGTCTACAAAAACTAAACCGAAAACCAGACAGATAATAAACAAATCGGGAAGAAGGTAAACAATGACGACGGAAAAAAAGGTCCCCATTACAACCCAGCTCCCGGCTCCTCCGCCCGTCCTTCCCGCTGAAATAGTAAACTGACGCGTTCGTTTCCAGCGTTACGTTCCGAGGTATAAATAGCCAGGGCGCCGCCTCACCAGCGCCATTCTCTCCTCGAGGCTCATCCAAGACACAAGCATCTCTCGAGGTAGAAAATACGCTTAGGTTTTGAAGTTTTCTGCTTTATTATGAGCTTTTGAGATTAAGACTTTGAAGTTTTGTTTGTTGTCATTAACCAGTACCAGACCCAGTACCAAACCCAGTACCAGACCCAGTACCAAACCCAGTACCAGACCCAGTACCAAACCCAGTACCAGACCCAGTACCAAACCCAGTACCAGACCCAGTACCAAACCCAGTACCAGACTCAATACCAGACCCAGTACCAAACCCAGTACCAGACCCAGTACCAAACCCAGTACCAGACCCAGTACCAAACCCAGTACCAGACCCAGTACCAAACCCAGTACCAGACTCAATACCAGACCCAGTACCAAACCCAGTACCAGACCCAGTACCAAACCCAGTACCAGACTCAATACCAGACCCAGTACCAAACCCAGTACCAGACCCAGTACCAAACCCAGTACCAGACCCAGTACCAAACCCAGTACCAGACTCAATACCAGACCCAGTACCAAACCCAGTACCAGACCCAGTACCAAACCCAGTACCAGACCCAGTACCAAACCCAGTACCAGACCCAGTACCAAACCCAGTACCAGACTCAATACCAGACCCAGTACCAAACCCAGTACCAGACTCAATACCAGACCCAGTACCAAACCCAGTACCAGACCCAGTACCAAACCCAGTACCAGACTCAATACCAGACCCAGTACCAAACCCAGTACCAGACTCAATACCAGACCCAGTACCAAACCCAGTACCAGACTCAATACCAGACCCAGTACCAAACCCAGTACCAGACTCAATACCAGACCCAGTACCAAACCCAGTACCAGACTCAATACCAGACCCAGTACCAAACCCAGTACCAGACTCAATACCAGACCCAGTACCAAACCCAGTACCAGACTCAATACCAGACCCAGTACCAAACCCAGTACCAGACCCAGTACCAAACCCAGTACCAGACTCAATACCAGACCCAGTACGTGACCCAGACCGCGTACAAGACCCAAGTCCAGTACGTAACCCAGACCCAAGTGCAGTACCAGACCCAGTACCAAACCCAGTACCAGACTCAATACCAGACCCAGTACCAAACCCAGTACCAGACTCAATACCAGACCCAGTACCAAACCCAGTACCAGACCCAGTACCAAACCCAGTACCAGACCCAGTACCAAACCCAGTACCAGACCCAGTACCAAACCCAGTACCAGACCCAGTACCAAACCCAGTACCAGACCCAGTACCAAACCCAGTACCAGACCCAGTACGTGACCCAGACCGCGTACAAGACCCAAGTCCAGTACGTAACCCAGACCCAAGTGCAGTACCAGACCCAGTACCAAACCCAGTACCAGACTCAATACCAGACCCAGTACCAAACCCAGTACCAGACTCAATACCAGACCCAGTACCAAACCCAGTACCAGACTCAATACCAGACCCAGTACCAAACCCAGTACCAGACCCAGTACCAAACCCAGTACCAGACTCAATACCAGACCCAGTACCAAACCCAGTACCAGACTCAATACCAGACCCAGTACCAAACCCAGTACCAGACTCAATACCAGACCCAGTACCAAACCCAGTACCAGACCCAGTACCAAACCCAGTACCAGACTCAATACCAGACCCAGTACCAAACCCAGTACCAGACCCAGTACCAAACCCAGTACCAGACTCAATACCAGACCCAGTACCAAACCCAGTACCAGACTCAATACCAGACCCAGTACCAAACCCAGTACCAGACTCAATACCAGACCCAGTACGTGACCCAGACCGCGTACAAGACCCAAGTCCAGTACGTAACCCAGACCCAAGTGCAGTACCAGACCCAGTACCAAACCCAGTACCAGACCCAGTACCAAACCCAGTACCAGACCCAGTACCAAACCCAGTACCAGACCAAGTACCAAACCCAGTACCAGGAGGTATGTATTGGTGTTATTTGTCATTTGGTATTCTGGATGAGATCGTGAAAGCATGAATTAGTTCTGAAGTCATAGTGGGATAGAAAAAATAATGTAGTTATTCTTTAATGAATTTAATATCATTAATTCTTATAATCGTGGTTATCATATTCATCAAGATGATCCTTTTCAAGTTACGAACTTTTTACGATGTTTCCCTCCCGTCGCAGGTCCCAGTCTACCAGACCGCCTACAAGACCCAGGTCGTGCCCACCACCCGCTACGTGACCCAGTACCAAACCCAGTACCAGACTCAATACCAGACCGAGTACGTACCCAAGTACGTGACCCAGACCGCGTACAAGACCCAAGTCCAGTACGTAACCCAGACCCAAGTGCAGTACCAGACCCAGTACCAAACCCAGTACGTCACCAAGTCTGAATACGTGCCCAAGTACGTCACCCAAACCCAGTACCAGACCCAGTACGTGACCCAGACTCAATACCAGACCCAGTATACCACCCAGTACGCTCCCCAATACGTCACGGAGACCCAGGTCAAATACCAGACCCAGTATACCACCCAGTATGCTCCCCAGTACGTCACCGTCACTCAGCAGTCCTACAAGACCGTGTGCCCCAAGCCAGCCTACGGCTATTAAGCTCGACGTCCATGTAACGCGCTTGTAAAGTTATATATTAAAGAGAATTTTATTAATGTGTGTCTCGACTAACCCAAGGTAACAGTGTGATGTTCCTACAGGACGTCTGAAGTGTATTTCCTTTCAAGTGACACCAAAGACAACTCGGGAACCATAACACTTAAGTGGCAATACGTTTGGATACATCAAGTTATATAAAAACCAACAGACTACTGGATTATTGCATCTTTATCCACATGTCTAGATACGTAAATACATATCCACACACATGTATACACACACACACACTTATATACATATATATATACATATATATCCATATTTATATATATATGTATGTACATATACATGAAAATATGTATATGTATATATACATGATATATATATAGTGTATATATATACATATATACACTATATATATATATACATATACATATATATACATTGTATGTGTATAGATACTCTATATATGTATACACACACACACACATATATATATACATATACATACACAATATGTATATGTATATATGTATATCATATATACGCATGCATATATATATATATTACATATGCATATATATATACGTATATATCCCATTGGTGCCGGGTATGACGTGTACGTACGTGCTATGCCCACCGTGAGTACTTGTTTGATTGTTTTTACGCATAGATAGCAACACTTGTACTAAATCACCAATGAGCCAACTACGAGTACCGCCCGTCTCGCCCGTTTACCCGTTTCTTTGATTTACGAAATATTTTACGTTAACTTATTTTGCTGTTACTAATGTTAAAAAACATAAAAATTATGTTTATGATAAAATAACACCATCGATTTTCATAGCACTAGTTAAAAATACGTTTTTTCCCGCCATTTCAAATCAGGCGCTAGCAGAGCCATCTATCGGCAGATATTTCACGAAAAACATAGAAAGTGGGCACAGCATTTTCCCCATTTTTTGTTCATTTTCCCCGGCGCCATTGGGATATATATATATATATAATGATTGTGTGCGTGTGTGTGTGTATGAAAGCGTTTCTCTTTCTTTGTAAGATATTGTGTGCAGTGTTATGTAATGAGGATGACGAGGCTTGTAACACGGAAAAAGTGTATAAATAGACTAAAGAAAAACGAAGAATGAAAACAGACGAACAAAAGATATTCTATTTTCTCTCTTACTTTCGTTAAAGACGAATAATCGGGATGAAGAAATATTCATAGTAGATAGTACTATTTTTGGATTGAGATATTTGCATAAATCAAAGGTTTTTTAAAAAAGAATACGAGCCACACTCAGCCGCAGTAGATCCTGGAGATGAGCGTTTTTTTCTTCATTTAAGCTTTGAAAATATATTATAGTGACTGCTAACAGTTCTATAATGAATTAATCTCTTTTATTCGTGCCTAAATCGGATTCCACCACGTGCGTAGGGAGTTGTGCGAATTCGTGGCTCGCACTGCTTCGTCCCGCTCAGAGGCTTCGAAACCAGCTGTGAGAAGAATAGGCAAGGGTACTGCAAAGTACGATAAGTCACGCTCACCTCACCTCTTTGCATGGAGTCGTCTAAACCCTTAAAAAAAGTTCTTGGCACCACCAAAGCTATATCACGAAACACTTCAGGAGAAAGGCGTTGGTTCCTGATGTTAGTACTAGTACACACAAATGTGCACAATCTAAGATTGTTCACATATTTGTTATGAGAAGTGAACACTATGGCAGACTTCACGCAATTGCGGGTGGTTTCGGAACATATACGTACATATATATATGTATATATATAAAGAGAGAATCTATAATAAATGGAAGAGATACTTATGACGGTTATAGTGTAGTTATATACAATAATTATGATTATAATCATTACCATTATCTTCACCACAATAAAAATGTAGATATTAGTAATGATGACAACAAGTCTAATGAGAGATTGCCAGTTAGTGAAGACGGAAGACCATAAGCCATTAAATGTAGGAGTGAGGATTATTTAACACTTCAGATGGTCTTTTTTCCAAGCATCTTAAAACAAAAAGTACTTCTTTATGTTAATGCAATAAACAAGACTTCAGTTTTCTCAGGAGATCCAGCCTCTTATAGTTTCGGTTAGGAAAAGTATTCATGCATGTATAGGTGAGCGAATGCACGTATTTATGAGTGTATGAATGAATGTTAATGCAATTATGTATGCATGTAAGTAAGTATGTATGTTCACTATCGATACGTGGATGAATATATGTATGTGCGCATCGTACAAGGAAATCAGATTATTTTTTTATCAATGTATGATGGAAATACAATTACCTGATATCTGTACATAAAGTATTAGTTATTTGTGAAGTTAATGCGGAAGATTAAACAGCCTCATGATCGAAACAGATGCAGAGAGCCCATTAGATAGTTAATCGTTTTGGATAATAATAATGACAACAGTGATAATGATGGAGAGAGGTATGGAGAATTGAAGGAAGGGAAGGTCAAAGGATAGAGAGAGAAAGTAGAAAAAGAGAGAGAGAGATGGACGAGAGAGAAAGAGAGAGAGGGAGATAAATCAAGAGAAACAGACAAGAAAGAGAGAGAGATAGAGAAAGGGAGATAAACCAAAGATAAACAAACGAGAGAAAGAAAAAAATGAAAAAGGCTGGGGATGGAAGGGGGGGGGGGTAAAGAGGCCTTGGATGCCTGGTTCCGTCGAGGTATATAAGCCAGCGGTCCGCCTCTGGTTCGTCACTGCTGTTGTGAGAACCTTGGGAAGCTAAGCAAAGGTTGTGGGAGTGTGTTCGTTCGGGGGAATTCTGAATTGGTGTTTTTTATTTTTAATTTCTTCGTTTTTTTCAGGTTTTTGCATCTGTTCCTTTCCCTCTTTTTCTCCATGCCCCCTTTCTTTCTGTCTCTTTTTCTCTCTTTCTCTTCCTGCCTATCTATCTACCCGTCTTCCTTATTCTCTGCATCTGTTTATCTCTCTTTCTCTCTATCTATCTAGCCATCTCTCTCTCTATCTATTTATCTATCTATCTACCTATCTCTCCATCTATCTATCCATCTCTCTCTCTCTCTTTCTATCTATTTCACTCTTTCTCTCTCTCTCTCTATCTCTATCTTTCTATCTAATGATCCATTTACATCTCTGTTTTATCTTTTTATCTACTTTCGGCTACTTCGGGTTATAATGCTTATCAGTGCCATGATTTTGTTATCGTCTATGTCAACTTTTATTATTGTCATTATCACCACCATCTTTATTTTCATGTTAATTGTCTTTCTTTTCATTTTTATTGCCACTTTTAGTCAGTGTCACGATTGCAGGTATCTTTTGCAACCATGAATATATGGTTATCAATATTACATCTTCTTCATTTTCCTATTTTCGTCAGTATTATTCTTATCGCTATTATTGTTGTTGCTATTATTGTTACCCTTTTTATTATTATTGCTATCATTATTATTTTTTTATTGTTATCGTTATTGTTTTTTATTGTTATTGACATTCATATCATTATTATTAGAAGTTTTAGTAGAAGTATCATAATTATTAGTATTAGCATTACTATTATTATCATCATTATCAGTAGCAGTAGTAGTAGCAGGAGCAATAGTATATCCTTAATTATAATTATTATTATTCTAGGATTATCATTTTTCTAGTATTATCATTATCATTCAGTTATCGTTATTAATAATATCATCATCATAATCATTACTAATCATATACGGATAAGGATTTTAGATATAATCAGTGTTCTTAATATTCTTATATATTTTACTATTGTCATCATTATCAATTACTATCATGATTATTATGGATATCATTTTGATCTTGCTATTAATTGCATAGTTTTTGATATTACTGATATAATTCTGAATGCCATGATAATTACTGTTAGAATTACAGAATTATCTTTTAATTTGGCAGTTTCTGCTGTCATCACTACTAATATTTTTACATCATAATTATCTTTGGCATAATCATCTTCATCATTGTGATTCTTAATCACTCGTTATATTAATCATCCGCCATTTTTTTTTTTTTTGGGGGGGGGGATATTAACATAATTTTCCCTATCACTACTTTCACTATATTTTATCCTATATTTCTCTTTTGCCTTATAGATGCAAATAAATGTAATTAATATCCAATTTTCTGTTTTCTTTTTAACATCTAATAATTAATATCTTAATTTTTATCTAAAATTTCCTGTTTTCTTTTAAACATCTAACACTTAGATATTTCTAATTTAATATCAAATTCCCTGTTTTCTTTTAAACATCTGTCCCTTAATATCTTGCATTTCATTCTTTGGTCACAGATGACGTCAGGACGCGTAGTGTTGGCAGTGCTGGCTGCTGTGGTGGCCGCGGCGGTGGCAGAGCCCATCTACCCCCGCCCCCAGCCCCAGCCTGCCCCCTGCTACCCCGAGGTCAAGCAGGTGACCCAGTACCAGACTCAGGTTCAGCAGGTCAGTGAGAAGCAGATGGAAAAGGATTGTTTATTAAGGAAATTCTCAAAAAATGACTACACACATTTGTAGGCATATATGTGTATGTATGTATGTATGTGTGTGTGTGTGTGTCTATGTTTCCATGTGTCTGTGTGTGCATATATATAAAGATAAAGGGATACATATATATGCACACAAACAGAGTGAGAGAGAGAGGAAGAGAGAGAGAGAGCGAAAGAGAGAGAGAGAGCGAGCGAGCGAGAGAGAGAGAGAGAAGGAAAGAGTTTGTGAAAAGCGAAAACGGTAACGTCTGCAGTTAATAGACTGGAACGCATTAGGATATGGGTTTACGTAAACAGAAGTCAAGTATGCGTTCTCAAGCACACACACACACACACACATATATATATGCGTTTATATATGTGTGTGTTGTGGTTTCATTATCTTTCTTTCTCATCCTTATTTTACATTATATCTATAGATTTATGCTATATTTTGACTTTAATAACCATGGTATCAAATATCCTTCTCAGTAGTATGAAACTGATGAAAATGTAAATGA